TTGCAGACCTGAAGTAGGTAGGCATGAAACCCTAAACACTGGGGTTAAAATTCCTTGTTTGTTTATTGCAAAATGTTTTTATATTATTCTGGTTTTTACTTTAGCCCAAGCTGTTTAAAGGATTTTTTTTAAATGACCAAAATTTTAGCTGCTATTAAAAAAAAAGGTTGGTACTGATTTTCCGACCAATAAATACTGATTATCAGACCAATAACTGCTTTCAACATAAGCGCTGGACTTGTTAATGAAAGGTTTGCTGATCAGCTTTGCCATCTTTGATGGAATTTTAGAGTTCAGAAAAAATACAAGATAACAGTCTTGAGTGAAAACTTATCACATTCAAAGTTTCCAATTAGTTGCAAAGCAATACTTAGAGAGAAATCCCTACAGTGACACTTTGTGCTTCACAGAGGACTGCCAAGAAGCTTCAGCAGCAGCAAGGCTAACTGGATTGCAGAACCATGCTTAAGATATCATCTATCAGTTAATGTGGGATTCAAAAATTACCAATAAAATACTTACCATCTAGAAAATTCATAAAGAGATTGCTGTTACAGTAATACTATGCGGGCTAACTATACTGACTTTTAATAATAATAATGTTAGTCATTTTAAAATGTCACCATCAAATGATTTGGACTTTTTCCTTTAAAATGTTAAACACCATATTATGTACTCTAATGCACTTTTACTGAGAGTTGTAACATTTTCCTGTCAAAGTTGACTCCTTTTTTCATTCTGCATTACATTCTCGACTCTGCTTCCTGACCCTCTCAGTCTGACAGAATAATTTTGATGCCCATTGTTTAAATACCAATCCTGAAAAGTATCAATACAACTGATGATGTGTGCAAAGATAAAATTATCTGTTTGTGCTTGCTATTTTACTCGGTAACTCCTGAATCCAACACACATTGAAGATATATAAAAAAAAAAAAAAAAAAAATTCCCTTCTCACCCACCGCGGGTGGTTCTTATCCTCTGAGCTCGGGTCCTCTACCAGAGGCCTGGGAGCTTGAGGGTTCTGCGCAGTATCTTGGCTGTGCCAAGGACTGCACATTTCTGGACTGAGATGTCTGATGTTGTTCCTGGGATCTGTTGTAGCCACTGCTCCAGTTTGGGGGTTACTGCCCCGAGGGCCCCGATGACCACAGGCACCACTGTGGTCTTCACCTTCCAGGCCCTCTCCAGTTCTTCCCTGAGGCCCTGGTATTTCTCCAGTTTCTCATGCTCCTTTTTCCTGATGTTGCAATCACTTGGTATTGCTACATCAACCACAACGGCTTTCCTCTGATGTTTATCCACTACGACAATGTCTGGTTGGTTCGCCATTACCATTTTGTCTGTCTGGATCTGGAAGTCCCACAGGATCTTAGCTCTGGCGTTCTCCACCACTTTTGGGGGTGTTTCCCACTTTGATCTCGGGGTTTCCAGTCCATATTCTGCACAGATGTTTCTGTACACTATGCCTGCCACTTGGTTATGTCGCTCCATGTACGCTTTCCCTGCCAGTATCTTGCACCCTGCTGTTATGTGCTGGACTGTCTCAGGGGCCTCCTTGCACAACCTACACCTTGGGTCTTGTCTGGTGTGGTAGATCTGGGCCTCTATTGCTCTGGTGTTTAGGGCCTGTTCCTGGGCGGCCAGGATGAGGGCCTCTGTGCTGTCCTTGAGTCCAGCTTTTTCCAGCCATTGGTAGGATTTACTGATATCAGCCACTTGGGTTATTTGCTGGTGGTACATCCCATGTAGGGGCTTGTCCTCCCATGATGGTATCTCTGGCACCTCAACCTCTGTTCCCTGTTGTCTGAGACATTCACTGAGCACATTGTCTGTTGAGGCTTTGTCCCTGATGTATTTATGGATCTTAGTTGTTTCGTCCTGGACAGTGGTTCTCACACTCACTAGTCCTCTGCCTCCTTCCTTGCGGCTCGTGTACAGTCTCTGGGTGCTGGATTTGGGGTGGAACCCTCCATGCATGGTTAGTAGCTTTCTAGTCTTAATATCTGTGGCTTTTATCTCCTCCTTTGGCCAGCTAATTATTCCAGCAGGGTATCTGATTACTGGCAGGGCATAGCTGTTTATCGCACGGATTTTGTTCTTGCCATTGAGCTGGCTTCTCAGGACTTGCCTTATTCGTTGGAGGTATTTAGCTGTGGCTCCTTTACTTGTGGCCTCATCGAGGTTGCCATTTGCTTGTGGTATACCCAGGTACTTGTAACTGTCCTCTATGTCTACTATTGTTCCTTGTGGGAGTGAGACTCCTTCTGTGCGGATCACCTTCCCCCTCTTTGTGATCAGCCGACCACACTTCTCTAGTCCGAATGACATCCCAATGTCAGTGCTGTAGATCCTGGTCGTGTGGATCAGTGAGTCGATGTCTCGCTCACTCTTGGCATACAGCTTGATGTCATCCATGTAGAGGAGGTGACTGATGTTGGCCCCATTTTTGAGTCGGTATCCGTAGCCAGTCTTGTTGATAATTTGGCTGAGGGGGTTCAGGCCTATGCAGAACAGTAGCGGGGACAGAGCATCTCCTTGGTATATGCCACATTTGATGGACACTTGTGCAAGTGGTTTGCAGTTGGCTTCAAGCGTGGTTTTCCACAGCTTCATCGAGTTTGCAATGAAGGCTCTCAGAATCCTGTTGATGTTATACATCTCTAGGCATTCAATGATCCAAGTATGCGGCATTGAGTCATAGGCTTTCTTGTAATCGATCCAAGCCATGCACAGGTTGGTGTGTCGGGTTTTGCAGTCTCGGGCAACTGTGCGGTCTACGAGGAGTTGGTGTTTGGCTCCTCTGGTATTTACACCGATACCCTTCTGTGCCGTGCTCATGTGTTTATCCATGTGTTTGCTTATCTTGGCCGCTATGATGCCTGACATGAGCTTCCAGGTTGTGGAGAGGCAAGTTATTGGTCGGTAGTTGGGTGGGACTGGACCCTTTGATGGATCCTTCTGGATTAGGATTGTCCGCCCTTCAGTTAACCATTCAGGGTGAGTCCCACTTTGTAGCAGCTGGTTCATTTGGGCTGCCAGTCGCTCATGGAGAGCAGTGAGTTTCTTTAGCCAGTAGGCATGGATCATGTCAGGCCCTGGTGCTGTCCAGTTTTTCATGCCTGAGACTCTTTCTTGAACATCTGTCGCAGTGATGGTTACCGGGGCTTGCTCAGGGAGGTTGCTGTGGTCCTCTCGTAGAGAGATCAGCCACTGTGCATTGCTGTTGTGGGACGCCTCCCTTTCCCATATGCCTTTCCAGTATTGTTCAGTCTCCAGCCTTGGTGGGTCTGCTCTGTTGTTATTACCCTGCCATTGAGAGTACACCTTAGCTGGTTGAGTGGAGAAGAGCCGGTTAATCCTTCTGGATTCATTCTCCCTTGTGTATCTCTTTAGGCGGCTGGCCAAGGCTTGGAGCCTCTGTTTGGCAGTTTCAAGTGCTTCAGGTATGGGCATCTGCCTGTACTTTCTGGGTACTGGTCTTTTCATTGTACCCTTGTGGAGCTCTGACAGTTGGCTCACTTCCCTCCTTGTTACCTTGATTTTAGCCTCTAACCGTCTTTTCCATGGTGGGTATTGGGTCTCATGGTTGCTCTTATAGCCAAGTATCTCAAGGATCACTGATGCTGAGTTGTAGATCAGCTCATTGGTTTCTGTTATGGTGTTGGTAGGGATCGTTCTCAATGCTGCATTCACATATGCATTCTGATGCCTTATGTATTGAGCTATCCAGTCAGCTATGGCAACAAGGATGGGATGTGAACCCATGCGTGCTCAGCACAATGGATATATATATATATATATATATATATATATATATATATATATATATATATATATATATATATATATATATATATATATATCTGTTTCAAGATGTGAAACAGAGGAGGGGAAAACAATGACTTGAATATGTAGTCAAAGAAAAGCATGCACTTCTCTGTTTGTATTCAAAGTACTCCATCTATGTGTACAACTTCATTTTAGGCAATTGAAAGTATTATGTTTTCTTATTTCTCAAGAATTTCAAAGAACGTTGCTGGAGGAGTTTGACACTTCAGACTGATGAATGATTTAATCTCACATTTTGTTCTCCTCTTTGAGCATTTGTAATCTGAGGAGAGTCTAGCAGCAACTGTTAGTTGTTTACTACCTGAAAGATAAATGGCAATTCATCAATTGTAAGAAAAATCAAACAGCGCAGCTAATTCTTATGGCTTGATTCAGATGACACTTCATATTTTGCTCCTTTTGTTTGCCCAAGGTACTGACAAAAGAAAAAACACAAAAACAACCTAATTTACCTTTCCAATTAGATCAGAAGATTTTTTTTCCCCTTTTGATACCTGAATATTTAACCATAAAAAAAAAAAAAATTCTCCTAGAGGTAAGAGGACCTAGTTACCCCTTTTAAGCTTTGTCTTAAAAGGGGTAACTAGGCACCAATTTTAAAGATGCAACATGGTTGAACACAAACACAAATATTCAGCAGATGCTAAAAAGTGAGGACCCAGTGATTTTTTTTTTTCCTAAGCTCTCATTAAAAATGCAGCATGACTTGGCACATGCTGGGCAGCTGCTTCCCTCTGTGACCGCTGGGACTGCTGTGCTTAACGTGAGCCCTCTGCTGCACATCACTTTTGATTTGTGTGTGGAGTGCAGAAAATTTTTTGGGAGTGGTTTATGTGTACTAAAACTAGACACGTGCACAAAGTTCTCTGGGGATAGCAACACCTGCCTGGAGGTTCATATTCTGCAAATGCTGGGAAGCAGAAAGCGACAAGTGCTCGTTGTGTTTTGTCACGCTTTAGATCAGGTGCAAAGAACAAAATCTGCCTTCAAGCATCTGGAACAAAGCCTGAAAATATTGTTTGCATGTGCATGTGTTGAAGACACAGGGCGTTTACTAGGATTTATAAGTTTTATGCTCAAGGGCTAAAGAACTTGAAGAGTTCTCAGTTTTTTTATTTGTGGTTCTCATCATGTCGGTCTCCCCTCAGATATCAGAGGACTGCAAACCTTCATGGATCAAGCGTCTCGGCTCGGTCTGGATGTGTCCTTGCAGAGGGTGGACCGCAACGTCAGCCGAGTGTTTACCGATCTCTTCAATACGATGCACACGGAGGAGCTGAACCGGTACCGGGACACTCTGCGACGGGCCGTGCTGCTCATGAGCCCTCGAGGAGCTCAGGTCTTCATTCACCAGGTAGGTGTCAGTGAGTTCTCTGTTCATTATGGGTTCAGAAGCACCGGCAGAGAGTCAAAGAGCAAGAAAGGAAATAATTTATAGACATAGACAAAAAAAGGATTCAGTTTTGAAAAAAAAAAATATTCTGATACCTCTTAGGTGACCTCAGGTCTAATATTACATTGTCACAACTACACCCAATAATAACAAGAAAATAATTGAGAAATATAAACGACCTTGTTTTATTTGGCATTTTCAACTACTATTGATCCAATATCCTGCCTGCACCTGCTTCACCTCAAACAAATCCCAGAACACATGGCAGAGGTGAGACCAAGATGTGTTTTACCTTTGATTGATTTGACCTTGTGAAAATAAAAAGTCTGCCTGGAATTGTAAAAGAAACTGAACTGAAACATCTTTTTTTTTTTCAACAAGAAGACATTTATTACATTATTAATAAATTCTCAGAAAGCATTGACAACTTTCAAACATCATGTGCGAATATGCAAAAAATGATTTGCTTTGGCACGTTTTATGTTGTCAAACATGGTGAAGTTTCACATTAAACACATTGTGTTGTTTCTTCAATTAGGACATCACATTGTGGTGGTTTTTATCATGGTAACTCTTTGGCCACAGACCTGCTGAAAGAAATTCTGTTGTGTTTTTGATGATTTGAAAAGGCTCTGGTGTAGCACAGTCTGTGTTGAAAGCAATGAAAAATATGTCGGTGTGAAAGTGATCCGAGTGGCTTGTTCAGCTCTGCAAACACATCACAGTCTGACAGTTAATCTTCTATCCATCTGGCAAGGACAGTGAAGCATTGACAAATTTTCTAACCCAAATAAAAAACACTTGGATGTCAAATTCAACCTCGGAGGAGGAGTTTATGTGTGGTTGTAAATATAAAAATGTGGCAGTTACATAGGCTATTCAACAGGATCAAAGTCTATGACTGGCCTTTTTTAATTCTGTATGCGTCTGTGATTGGATTGGTACAATTCAGACTAAGCTCTGTGCAGCAAACGCTATTTGTGTTTGGATAGTTGTGCTCTTGCATATTTCAGACTTTGTGTTTTTGAAAAGATTAACAGACAAAGAAGAAATTAGTTTATCTTACTGAAAATTTTGTCTGCTAACATGCTTTAAAAAATCACAATTTAATAAAAGAAGAACATTGTGGTTCTTTAAAAGTCACTATCGGGACTGCTTTAAACAATATTTTTGTTTTGCTGGCTGATGAAAGCATTTATCAATCATATCTTTTTACTTGAAATTTAACCATTCTAAAATATCATTTTGAATAAAACATTAATCAGAATGGGTTAAGGTTTGAGCAGTGAACTCTGTCCAATATTTTCTATTGTTATATGTCATGTTATTTTTATTTTTTGCCAGAGTCAAAATTGTAATTTGAACTAATGTAGCTGCCTCACTTCATGGAGCAGGGCAGGATGGAAGTACCCAAGTTCAAGGATCCAAAAGGTGACGGACTTGGCTTTTGTGGTTGATATTGCAAAGCAGTTGAATGTTGAATGTGCTCTATGAGGAACTGCAGGGCCATTGCCTGGTTGCCAAAGCACCTTATGACCACATCAAAGCCTTTTCCAGGAAATCGCTTCTATGGAAGTCCTTACTCTCCCGAAAAAAACCTTTGCCATTTTTCAGCAAGCAAAGCTCTGGTGGAGGACGGCTCACCATTCATGGTGAGAATTGCATAGACGCAATGCTACAGAAAGACTTTTGCAGACTTGAAGAGACACATAGCTGCTTTCTAAATAAGTAAGAGGTGAGGCTGAAATGTTGGACTGACCCCAAACTCAAGCTGATTGTCATGTAAAATGTCATTTGAAAGCCCACTAAATTATGGTGAAGAAATCTTTGTAACATGACAAAAGGAAAGGAATTTGAAGTGGCACAAATATTTTTGTAAGGCACTGCATGCTAAAGATGAACACTTTCCATCTTCAGTTCTTTTTTCCCTTTTAGCCAATTCCCTGAACTTACACATGTTAATTGTTCTGTCTCATCTGAGCAAACATGAAAAGAAGCTTTAACTAACAGTAGGTCAAAAACATCACTTGCAATCCAATTAGCTTTGTGTGCATGCTGCACCATAAATCTAAAAGTTAAGTACTTGCTGACAAATAAATTAGTGCACAGGTTGTGAATACATCAAGGCTTTTAGGGTCTCATTAATGACATATTGCCTTGATCTTTTGCTTAGTTTCTGGGAGTTTTGTTTTGGTACACACACACACACACACACACCCCCACATACACACACTTAGTTAAATGTAGACATCCTCCCATAACATCACACATACAATTAACACGAGGATCTTTGGGCGACAAGACATAAAAACAGATTCAAATTCAGCTCTGTACCTAAATGCCCCTATGAATATTTAAATTACTAACATGGACTTTTTAATTCAGAGATTTTTTGATACTTCATTGATTGTGTTGTCATAGGTTGTACACTTAGACTTAGACTTGACTTTATTGATCCCTTGGGAAGACTCCCTCAGGAAATTATGCATTATACTTTGCATCAGACATGTGGAGTATATAATTATGTCAATATTTGATAATTATGTCCTAGAGGATCATTATAAATGCCAGACTGTTTAATTACTATTTGGAATAGTGTTGGATTTTCAGAGTGTTACATGGAGTGAAATAAAAAAAATACATTTGGTGTTGTTAAGTGCTGGTCTCTTCCAGCAGAGTAGCAGTAATTTAGCTCATAAACCTACTGTTAACTTCTTTTATGCTTTCTACCTTTCAGCTCTCAAAATCCATCTTTCAGTAATTGTTGAGCTCAATTGTTTCCCATTTCCCTCAGCTCTGTTGTGCTATACCCAATTCATTTTCATTTTCAGTACCAATGGTTGGATTACAAAACAGGCTGAGAAATGCAGAACATAATCTCAAAGAGATGCACAGAGGCTGTAGAGAAACTTGGGATGACTCCTAAGTACTGCAAAATAAGAACAAAGTGACATAAAGGGACCACAATGATTCTGGTAAAAATTACACAGAAAGGCAAAGAGGAGCCAAAACGACCATAAAAGTAGATGCTATTGTCCAGTGAGGACAAAGTAATGTGTTTAGCAAAACAAAAAGTACAAGAGCTCAAATAAAACAAGAATTCAATTTATTCCCTCTATTACAGTCATGATTTCACATCAGCCAGATAATATTCATACCTCTGGATGATTTTGGTTTAATGTAATCTTTTAACTTTCCCAAAATATTTCTTCTGAGAGGAAATAAAAGTAATGTTCTGAAGAGGCCCTACCAAAGAGTGAAAGAGTCAAATTCAAACTTTAGGGAATCTGTGCAGTGAGTATAAATAATCCAGATACAAGTGGAAACATGCAAATTTGAAGAAAGATTTAATAACTTTCATGTTAATAAATATTATCGGAGATAGGAGTAAATAACTATTGACATGACATTTTTCAGATAAAACCTAAGTAAACCAGAAGCTGTTGTTCTTTCACATTGTTTTATGTATTGTTTTGTGGAATCATGTGTCAATGATTAGATGTATCTTATGGGGGTAATAATTTGGGGCTTACCTGTATTTCTCATTCGCAGTCATAATAAGACAAAATACGTTTTTTTAATATTGTTTTTGAGGGGCTGATAATACATGTCTGCTACATCAAATCCTATCTTCTCATCCTCTACATATAATATATGGTCATTAAAATTAACTCAGTCACATATTTTTGATTTATTCTGACAAGGTTTCATTTTCTTGATGAAGGTGACTTCATACTTCATAGTAAGACATGGCTGGAAACTCAAAACTAAAGCATCTACGACTTAAATGTCAATGACAATAATAATTGTGACTCTTTTCTATTCTTAGTGCTTGTAAAAATGCCCCACATTTTTTCTTATATTTTTTTTATCAAATAACAGGGCAAACTGACAGCCCTTCAGTAAGAACGTGACAACAGTGTGTCGGTTCAATAAAAGATGCTAAAACGCTGCATTAAAATTAGTAATAATGTAGCCCATTCATCCTCAAGAAGCGCCAAGAATGCCTTAATTTTAGGGTTATTGGTGCAGTGCAGCTTTAACTAAACATGTAAGTGGCTCACTGGCTCAAATCATTCCACATCCAAGAGTTACCTGTTCCAATGACAAAATGTCTTAGCCCAAAGTTAACAAAGAATGTTTACGAAAATAGGCCTAACCTAAATACTGTAAGGTAGAAACACCAGAACTCTGCAGCCAAGCATGTCTGATTAGATTTTATTTTTTTTCACTGAAACAAGACAATTAGATGAAAGAGGATTGGAATTACATGTGAAAATAAATTAAGTAAAATAAAGTATTGTACCTTTTAAAAGCCTGCATGGTTTACAATTGCACAAAGTACATGAAATACATTCTATGAATTAATAAAATGCAGGAAAACCGTTTTCTTTTTATTAACATCTTTTCTTCTGTCTCACGCAGGCATATTATGACTTTTAATCTCACAGGTTTCTCACCATTTTAATAAAAGTGAAATATTTGAGGTCTTAGTGTCTCTTTCTGCCACTCCAAAACCACAGCAACTCTCTGAAGATGTTGATGTGGAGGAAAAAAACAAAATAGGCGGTGTCAGATGGTGTGCTGGCTCTGCAGGGCGTTTGATGGATGGGGCGCGGAAGCTGGGTGAGGTCTGCCTCCTCTATGGCAGCTAAACCAGCCTGCAACAGTAACAAGCACTCGTGCCTGCTGCCAAGTAACGTTAGAGGAGATAGAGATGCTGTTCAGGATGGCAGGAGGGTTAAAATGTGACGACAGGAACATAGAGAGGGAGCGAGGACAGAGCACAGGGGTGCAGTGGGAGAGATAAAAAAAGGGACAAGAGGAGATGGATGTAGAGAGGAAAGGTCAACAATGAGAAAAAGATGTAGAGCTACAGGGGGCTACTCCAACATTATAAAGCACCCTGTATGAAATAGTAATAGATGAAATTCAACAGACGAGATGGCAGAGGAGGAAGA